TGATCATGAAGACTGATGGTGGAAGATCAAATCTCCACCGTCCATAGGAACTCATAAGAGATTTCTTTGCTTCTATGGCTTTGTTTTTTTTTTTTCTCCCTGAAAGAAGGAATAAGGAAGAGAATGTTAAGAGTAGTTTGAAGTCGTCTTTCATGACAAGAAGACTAATCAACGGTTGCTACTCTTTCAACTTTTTAATTATGTTCTTATTATTATTCATAAACCCAAGAGCAATTTTCATTACTTTATTTTTAAGTTTACAAACTTGTGTAGTTTACTAGCTTTACACTAACCATTTTAGAAATATGACGTTGGTCAATTGGTCATTGTGTAACAAAGAAAACATCAATTTACTATAATAATAATTAACTCTTGTAAAATATCAAGGTAAATGAAATTTATTAAATCTAACCAGGAAAAACAAACAAAAATTCCTTACGCGTTAATTTGGTGATTTTAATAGGTTAGGTTTTAAAATTACATCTAATTATTTTCTTGGGGTTTTTTTTCTGAACCACCAATAACTTGGGGGGGTTTTCTGCAAAATTTTCCCAATTTATATATATAGGAATTTTGGTGGGAGAGTTCGGGATATCTCACGTTAAAACCCTTTTTGTTTCCAATGAGGAATTTTTGTTTAGTTGCTTTGTCTTCTGGCGAAAAATTCGACGACGCAGACAGTGAGTGTTGGCAGAGACCGTCTCTTGGCTGCCCTTGGAAAAATCCTACAGTAAACTACTAAGAAACTCTTCCTTGTTCTGTTTTTTGTTCCTTGTTGTTTGATTCGTATGTAATGTTGGGATTTCGTCGTCTTCTTCTTCTTTAAACTGTGTTTGTAGCTCAAGAAGAGTTCGAAGATTTGTGTTTCCGTTTCTGTATTGAGCTTGGTGATGTGGTGAGTTGCCTCTTTATTTATTTTGTTTCGGTTTTTTTTAGGATTTAGGTTTTTGTCCGCTCTGATTAGTTTGTGATTGACTAGACAACTGAGAAAGCAATAATAAGGAAAGAAATACATATC